TTTTGAGACGGAGTTTTCCTCTTGTTGCTCAGGCTGGAGTGCAATGGAGTGATCTCGGCTCACTGCAACGTCCACCTCCCAGGTTCAAGCGATTCTATATTTTAGTAGAGACGGGGTTTTGCCATGTTGGCCAGGCTGGTCTCGAACTCCTGACCTCAGGTGATCCACCTGCCTTGGCCTCCCAAAGTGCTGGGATTACAGGTGTGAGCCACTGTGCCCGGCCTTCTCTTCTTTCTTATGCTATGCAAACACCTGAGATTATCCTCATCTATTCCCTTGCCTTCGACCACAACCTACAACCTAATGGCTCTCAAATCTGTGTCTCTAGTCCAGAGCCTTCACCCGAGACCCAAACACATATGTCCAGCTGCCTTCTGTATGTCCGTACTTGGATGTCCGCAGACACCAAAACAATATGTTCAAAACTGAACTCATCATCTCTCCCCAAATGGCTTCTCCTCCTGTGTTGCTCAACCTAGCGAATGTCACCATCACCCACTCATTTACCTAACCAATCAGTACAAACAAAATCCCTAATAGTCTTCTCTAACATCTCCCCTCTTTCATCCCATCACCAAGTCCTGCTGATTTTATCTTCGGTCTCTCTCAAAGCTACTCAAATTTGCACCATCCTACCATCACTCCTAGTCCAGGGCTGCTGCTGCTGCTGCTCCTCCTCCTCCTCCTCCTCCTCCTCCTCTTCCTCCTCCTCCTCCTCCCCTCCTTCTCCTCCTCCTCTTCCTTCTCTTCTTTTCCTTCTCCTTCTTCTTTTTTCCTTTTTGAGACAAGGCCTTGTTTTGTCTCCCAGGCTGGAGTGCAGTGGCGCAATCCTGGATCACTGCAATGACAAACTCTTGGATCCAAGGATACTCCCACTTCAGCCTCCCAAGGTGTTGTGACTACAGGAATGCATCACCATACCCAGCTGATTCTTAAATTTTTTTCTAGAGACAGAGTCTCATTTTGTTGCCTAGGCTGGTCTCAAACTCCTGGGCTCAAATGATTCTCCCACCTGGGCCTCCCAAAGTGTTGGGAGTACAGGTGTGAGCCACCATGCCCCGCCCAGGGTAGCATCTTCTGGCTACTGCTTCCCTGCAACAGCACCCTCACTGGTCTCCCAACTTTCTGATTCCTCTTCTTTTTATTCTCCACTGGAGTGGCCTTTCAGAACTGCACATCTGCTCATATCCTTCCACTGCTTGAAATTCACCAATGGGCTGGACACGGTGGCTCATGCCTGTAATCCTAGCACTTTGGGAGGCCGAGGTGGGTGGATCACCTTAGGTCAGGAGTTCAAGACCAGCTTGGCCAACATGGCAAAACCCCATTTCTACTAAATATACAAAAAGTGAGCAGGGCATGATGTCAGGTAGCTATAATCCCAGCCACTGGGAGGCTAAGGCTGGAGAACTGCTTGAACCCCAGGGGTGTTGGTTGCAGTGAGGTGAGATAGTGCCACCTCACTCCAGCCTTGGTGAAAGAGTGAAATTCTGTCTTGAAAGAAAGAAAGGAAGGAAGGCGGGGGGGAGGGGAGGGGAGGGGTCACCAGTGGCTCCTTATAGCTCTCAGGAGGAAAGAAAGCAAGAAAGCAAGAGAGAAAAGAAAAGAAGGAAGGAAGAAATAAAATAAATTAATTCACCAATGGCTCCTTCTAGATCTGAGGAGGAAGTCTAAAGTCCCCAGCATGGCCTGGAGGGTCCTGGGAGATCTCACCTTTGCCTCCTTTTTACCATCTTTTAAAAGATGGTAAAAAGGAGGCAAAGGTCCTGCCCTATCTTTTACCACTCTACCTTTACTCTTGATCATTTTCTCCTGTGCCTGAACTTTTTCTTCAACCCTTATCCCCTTCTGCCTAACTCTTACTTATTTGGCAAGTTCCAGCTCAGATTTTTTCCTCTGGAAAGCCTTTTCTGATTTCGCAAGACCAGGTTAAATGTCTATTACAGAAAGTCAGACACTATGCCATGTCTGTTGGTCCACTGCCCTTTTTATTTATTATTTATTTTTTGAGACGGAGTCTTGCTCTTGTTGCCCAGGCTGGAGTGCAACGGCATTATCTTAGCTCAGTGCAACCTCTGCCTCCTGGGTTCAAGGCAATTCTCCTGCCTCAGTCTCCTGAGTAGCTGGGATTACAGGCGCATGCCGCCATACCCAGCTAATTTTTGTACTTTTAGTAGAGATGGCATTTCACTATGTTGGCCAGGCTGGTCTGGAACTCCTGACCTCAGGTGATCCACCTGCCTCAGCCTCCCAACGGGTTGGGATTACAGGCATAAGCCACCATGCCCAGCCAGTCCACTGCCTCTTCTATGATGAGAATGTGCCCCTGCACTCTTCTGCAGAAGGGGTACCATGCAGCCATCTGAGCCTGCCCTGATCTGCTTCTAGCTGGTGACTGGACAAGGGATAGACACTTAAGCCAGATGCAGTTAATTTATAGATTTGCCATTTATATAATTTGCCAGCTGCGAGGTTATTGGAAAATGTGGAGAAAACAATGCAGTATATAGAAAGTGAGGTGGAAGTTTGCCTAGAGAAAAGCTATGACATTGAGTAAGGACCCCAAGCCCTGAGGCTGTTATTTTTCTGTTTATTATTTTTTTGACACTCAGGCTGGAGTGCGGTGTCACGGTCTCAGCTCACTGTAACCTGTTCAAACGATTCTTCTGCCTCAGCCTCCCAAGTAGCTGGGATTATAAGTGCGTGCCACCAAGCCCGGATAATTTTTGTGTTTTTAATAGAGACAGGGTTTTGTCATGTTGGCAAGGCTCACCTTGAACTCCTGACCTCAAATGATCTACCCACCTTGGCCTCCCAAAGTGCTGGGATGACAGGTGTGAGCCATTGTGCCCAGCCTGCTGTTGATTTTTGACAGCAT